CCAATTCGTTAATGGAAACTACAAAAAAAAAAAAATAAAGAAAACAGTTAGTCCGTTTCTTTAATAATAATAAAAAATAAAGTTTCGAAACACACATCGAAACATACACGTCTATTTCTCAATAATAGTACGAAGAATAACCTACAAAAAAAATAAAGAAACAGTTAGCAAACCGATTCTTTTATAAAAAAAAATCTCAAAAAGTTTCGAAATATTTCGAAACTTACCCGATTTATCAGCCCAAAGTAAAAGCCTACAAAAAAAAGAAAGAAATGATTAGTAAATCGTTTCTTTTAAAGTTTCGAAATTAACCCAACTTCGAAACTTACCGGTCATCTCTTATTTCGATGCATCCTTAATCTTTTCTTTCACTAAGCGCACTCGTGCTAAACAGCTCAACCGAAATCGTCATAGAGTTTTCACGCTGGATTCTGTGTCCGCTTCTCAATGGGATGATTTTTCCACTCTATTAGACTCCTTTTGTGATGTTTCTCTTGATGATTTTAAGTCTTGGCATCTGAATCGAAAATGTGAATTTCTTCATTCTCAGATTGTTAAGGCTGCGATCAAGATCCTCCCTAATAGTCATATCTCAAATCAATTCACTCCCAAGGTCCTAAAGGACTTGGATTTGCTTACTCAAGATTATCGCTTTGTTACGAAAGTTACTGCCACTATACGGTCTCTTACTCGACAACCTGATAATTTTTCCTTTGTGCACGAATCCAAATGGTCGCATTATCTTCCAAGATTTGCCGCTATCCTTGCTCGATACAAGAGTATTTTTGTGGATGCTCCTCCTTTACCGAATTTGCTAGCTTTTTGCACCTCAGATTCCTTTGCCTCTTTATTTTCTTCTCTCTCTCACATTTCTAAAACGTTGCGTGGTTTGCATATTTTGAAAGAACATGAATTTCAAGAAATATCCATTACTGCACATATTGATAGACGTAATGAGAACTTTGAGTCAGATATCTCTTCCTTTATCGACTCATCCTTTTCTAGAACCCGGAGACGTATTGTTTTAGATCGTGTATTTATTGATCACCCTACTCGACCGCGTTTGGTCACTGATCTGAAAGACATTATGTCTGAAGCTGTTAACCATTTTCAAAATTATGTTCCTATTAACCTGCCTTTCACCAGTGAACCTTCTTCTTTACCTGAGCGTTGGGCTAATGCTTATGCCCCTTTGGATTCGGTAGATGCTTCAATCTATGATTCTTTATTGGACCATCGACCAATTCATGCCCTAAACCCTAATATCTATTATACTTCGAGGGCGTCTTGAACCTACAAAAAAAAGAACGAAAACGTTAGTAAACGTTTCGTTAAATAAAATTTTTAAAAAAATCTAACTCTCCTACTGAAGTACCCACGCGTCTAAAAGCTGAATAACTAAAAAAAAAAAAATTTGAAATTAGTTTATTAAGGCGAAAACAAGGGAAATAAAAAAAATTAAAAACTTACCGAAATACCATATCCAAAGAGCCGAGGCGTCACCTAAAAAGAAGGAAGAGGGAATGGACGAAAGAAAGGGGAAAGGGAAAGACGAAAAAGTGAGAGGAAAAGGGAGACGAAAGAGTGAGTAGAAAGGGGGAAGATGAAAGGGTGACGAAGGAGTGTGTGGAAAAGTAAAGTGAGTGGAAAGGGGGGAGACGAAAGTGTGAGAAAAAAAAAGTTTAAATAAGGTTAATATATAGTAGTATCGCATAATGCACGTGATATATAATTATAAAATATCGACCAAAAAGTTATTACCGATTTTTGCCATTGGTCAAAAAATGTGACGAATCACATGACAAATCGGCAAAACCTATGCCGAAAGCTCTTAACGGTTGAAAGTTTTGATTTCGACCAGTGCTCCCTCTAGAAATAACATATTTTCTAAATTTCCGGATATTAACTGTATATTGTTTCCAATTATAAGAGGAAAAAAAGCATAGCTTTTCTTGATCTAAATGAATATTGGTGCAGTATAGGGAAATTTTGGACTATATTTTTTCCGATGCATTGATCTGTATCATGATTGTTTACATTAAATGGATAAGGCCCTGTAAAAAATCTGATCCGTGTTTTATCTTTCCATGTTTTTTCGTGAATGTATCATTTTAATGGAATTTATAGCCTTAAATCATGGAAATTTTCATCTCGCTAACACGGATATCTGTGAATATATCATTTTCACGGAATTTTTACGGAAGACACGGAGAAATAATGGAAATATTCAGATAAAAATTTTTTATAGGGAGGACATGCTCATAATCCTATTCTTTTATTTGCTAGTAGAAAGATAACTATTTGTTTACTAATTTTTTTGGAGAAAAATGCTGATAAAAATGCTTCATATAATCTTAATGTGAGATTTAATTTTGTTGTTTTATTTTTTTTATAGAAAAAATGAACATTACATTTACAGCAGACAGAACTACGTGATTATAGTAAAGATATTTGTCACATGTCACTCCTTCACTTTTCATTTTTAGTAGGTATTCTGGGGACTTGGAATTTTTTTGGTTATTGAAAAACTATTTGTTATACTCCTTATTTGTCACAAGTGTAATTTCTTAATGCTGTAATACCGGCCAAAACTATTCCACTTTATGGTTGGAATTTCTCAATGCAGATCAGTGCATCGAGTGCATCAGAAAAAATACGGACCAAAATTTTTTTTTTTTTGTTGTAATTTCCACTTTTGGTTAAAATATTTCTTTTTAGAAGCTTCATTCATGATATATATCAAGTAAATAAATAATAAAAAAATTTGTCTAGAAAAAAAATAAAATTTTTTTTTCCAGTAAGTCAAATTTCTAAATAATAAATGGAAACTGAATTTAATAAATTAAATATCTCAGATGAAGATACTGTTAAAATAGACACCAAAAATTGTTCGTATTGTAATATACTTTCTACTGAAGAATTATGGTGTAAAGAATGTATTAATTGTTTGGAAAAATTAGCAGAAAATGGTGATAAAGAAGCAATGTTTAATTTGGCCAACTGTTATCATAATGGAAAAGGAACAGAAAAGAATTTAGAAAAAGCTTTTGATTGCTACCAAAAAGCTGCAGAAAAAGGTAATATTATTGCAATATATAGCTTAGGCATATGTTATAGAAATGGAGAAGGAACAGAAAAGAATTTAGAACAAGCCTTTCATTGGTGTAAAAAAGCAGCAGAAAAAGATTATGTTGATGCAATGTATAATTTAGCTGCATATTATAGAAATGGAAAAGGAACAGAAAAGAATTTAGAAAAAGTCTTTTATTGGTATCAAAAAGCAGCAGAAAATGATGATAAAGATGCAATGATTAATTTAGTCACATGTTATGAAAATGGAAAAGGAATAGAAAAGAATTTGGAAAAAGCCTTACATTGGTGTCAAAAAGCAGCAGAAAAAGATCATGTTGATGCAATGTATAGTTTAGCTGTATGTTATCATAATGGAGAAGGAACAGAAAAGAATTTAGAAAAAGCTTTACATTGGTGTTAAAAGGCAGCAGAAAAAGATCAAATTTATGCAATATATGATTTAGCTATATATTATAGAAATGTAGAAGGAACAAAAAAGAATTTAGAAAAAGCTTTTTATTGGTGTCAAAAAGCAGCAGAAAAAGATTATGTTGATGCAATGTATGATTTAGCTATATATTATACAAATGGAGAAGGAACAGAAAAAAATTTAGAAAAAACCTTTTATTGGTATCAAAAAGCAGCAGAAAAAGATCATGTTGATGCAATATATAATTTAGCTGTATGTTATCATAATGGAGAAGGAACAGAAAAGAATTTAGAAAAAGCCTTTTATTGGCTTCAAAAAGCAGCAGATAAAGATTACATTATTGCAATGTATAATTTAGCTATATATTATACTAATGGAGAAGGAACAGAAAAGAATTTAGAAAAAGCTTTTTATTGGTGTCAAAAAGCAGCAGAAAAAGATCAAATTGATGCAATGTATTATTTAGCTGTATATTATAGAAATGGAGAAGGAACAATAAAGAATTTAGAAAAAGCCTTTCATTGGTATCAGAAAGCAGCAGAAATGGATCATATTGATGCAATGTATAGTTTAGCTGTACATTATAGAAATGGAGAAGGAATAGAAAAGAATTTAGAAAAAGCATGTCATTGGTATCAAAAAGCAGCAGAAAAAGGTCATATTGATGCAATATTAAATTTAGCTGCATGTTGTAGAAATGGAGAAGGAACAGAAAAGAATTTAGAAAGAGCCTTTTATTGGCATCAAATAGCAGTAGAAAGTAACAAATCATATTCTATAATTATTGAATTTTGTAATGAATGCAATCTACCAAACACTGATTACCAAAGGTGGTGCCAACAATGTAATATTAAACGATTTTAACAAGATTTTTCAAAGTGGACTAGTAAAAATAAATTTATTGATAAATTTATTCAAGAAGCACAAATAAATGCTAAAAATAGTTATGAAATTTTAGAGTGGATCCCTTACAATAATTTATCAGGTATTGATCATTATGCTAAAGGAGGATTTAGTGAAATTCATAAAGCTATCTGGTCAGATGGGCCTATTTTTAGTTGGAATTCTGACAAACAACAATGGAACAGACAATCATGTTATGAGGTTATTCTTAAAATACTTAATAATTCATCAAGTTTAAATAATGAATTTCTGGATGAGGTATAGTATTTATATTTAATAGCAAATTTTATTTCCTTGTGCAAAAGATTAATAAATTTTTTTGTTATTTACATAGTGGAAATATCATTATAATTGTCAGAAAAAGTCATTTTCAAAATTTATTCAATTTTTTGGAATTACCCAAGATCCAAATAATTTAAATTATATAATAGTAATGAGTTATGCGAAAAAAGGAAGTTTGAGAAAATGTTTGCCTGATATAATTAAATTCAAGTGGCAAGAAAAGTTACAATTATTGAAAAAAATAATATTAGGACTTAAAGTAATCCATGAATCAAATTTAACTCATGGTGATTTTCATGATGGTAATATTTTAATGTCAGATAATTACAATGAGTTGTTTATTATTGATTTAGGCTTATGCAAACCTATAAGTGATTTACAAGATTCTGATAATAAAATTAATGAAATTTATGGAGTTTTACCTTACATGGCGCCTGAAATATTAAGAAAAAAACCTTATATTCCAGAAAGTGATATTTATAGCTTTTCGATAATAATGTGGGAATTTACATCAGGCATTCCTCCATTTAACCATGAAGCACACGATCATCATTTTATCTTGAGTGTTTATTAAGGAAAACGTCCTGAAATCATGAAAAATACTCCAAAATGTTATGTAGATTTAATGAAAAAATGTTGGGATTTAAATCCTTCCAATAGACCAACCATAACAATGCTTGAAAATATTATATCTGAATGGATTAGATGTATTAATGAATACTATGAAATAAACAGGGATGGAAATTATAAATATTTAGTACCTATTACTGATAATCAATTAAAAAATGATATGGAAGAATTTGTAGAGGCAGACAAAGCTTTATTACAAGAACAAGCGAATGCTTTTATTATTCAATCGCATCCACAAGCATATTATACAAGTCGCAAACTTACTGAAATTCTAGTTCAAGAAGTGTCTCAGGGTTTTGATTACATGATTTAGGATTATTAATTCTATTAAATATTCTTTATTTATTGGATAATTTACTGTATATAGATAGCATTATTATTAGTAGTAGTATTATCAAAAGTATATTCACTAGATAGTATTTTGTATTTTTCAAAAAAAAGGAGAATCAGAAAATAGAAATTACATGGATAATTTCTGATCAATGTAGGAATAAAGAATAATCATGTGATAAAAACTTAAAAATAAAAAAATCAAAAAAAATTAAAAAATTCAATTCATTAATCATTTTAATATTAAGAATTGGCTTCAAACTGCCTCATGTCAGTTCAGTTTCAAACTACTATCAGTGGTAGAGTGAAACATTCAGTGATTACAAGTGTTGTGACATTTTCTGATGTCTGTTATATCTAATAAAATATAATAAAAAAGTTTGATAATGACCACAGTATTAAAAAATACAACTCTGAACACTGGTCGAAATAGTCCAAATCGGCTAGAAATCGGATGTCCGATTTTAGGCTGAATTTGGTAATAAAGATGGCCGAATTATCAATCCAAAAAAAGTTCCGATTGGCAGGCCGATCGATGCCGATCAGAATGTCAGAATTGTATCCGAATTGTTTAGTAATTTTTGATCTGAATTGTTTAAAAAATATTTTCCGATCAAGATAAATTTTGTCTGAATTATAGCAATTTTAGTTTGAATTTTGTCTGAATTATGGCAAATTTTAGATGATTTTTTTCGAATTTTGTCTGAATTTTAGATTGAATGTGGATGATTTTTCCAAATTTAGTTTTAATTTTATTCAATTTTATTAGACATTTTAAATTACATTGTTATTAAAAATTACATTTAATTGCCGGTCCGCCACTCAACGGTACAAAATGATCAGCAATCTATAATTAATTTCGACGGACTTTTATATATTAAATACTATTGCTCTGGAATGGTGTTTGCACTATCTTAAAAACACGTCACAACAACATAAATACTTCAAAAATTTGCTAGAAAAAGGTATTACATTACCTGGGTGTATTTTCCAAAACCGGTAGGATCAAGG